TTAGCTTTGAGTAAGGAACTCTTATAATTCCAGTGTTGTTATTTCAGTAACAGTTAACCTCTGTGATGGAAAAGCTGTTAAATTTTACAGCCAGGCCTACTTGTACTCAGTGTGTAACTTCACATTCCATTGAATGCTATACACACTGTAAGAGTATTTTAAATTTTTGTTCTAGAGGACTGCATAGCTTTTCCTAATTTTCTTGAAACATTTATAATTAGAGTTTCTTTTTAAATCTAAGTATCAACTAAAATGGACACTAAAGGAGGATCTACATGGAGATTTGGGGGGTGGCTAAAATTATTTTTTTTTTAAACTTGTGGAGTCTAAGTGCTGTTAAAAAAAAACAAAAGAAAACCAAAACCAGCAAAGGTTGTGAAGTCCATGTGGCTTTTCTTAGGTCTATTCAGAGTGGATCCCGCCCTAGAAAACAGAAAACTGGGCTTACTACACAAGAGTCTACTGTAACTAGCTAATTCTGTTAGAAGCCATTACCGGCATTTATCAACCCCTATTCTATAAAATGTATTTTACAGCAGTACCAGTTAGCAGATGAGAAACCATGTTTATGTAAAAAGAATGTCATACAACCAAGCAGTAACACTTAAAAATCCTTAAAATTTGTAATCAAGACCATAGCAGAAAGCCTTTGGGCTTTACTATCTCAGACCTTGCAGTCTGTGTTTATCTAGCAAGAACTCCATGGTCAGGAATTGCTTTGGGGCATACCTTGTGTGTCAGAAGTTATCCCTGGTGCATTTGTGTTCTTTCCCACAGGGATTCCGAGTGGATTTACCCATCAAGTCTGCACGATACCGTGGGCAGTACAGCAGCTATCCCATCAAGCTGTTTTATACCTCCAATATTCCCATCATCCTGCAGTCGGCCTTAGTGTCAAACCTCTATGTCATTTCCCAGATGTTGTCTGTTCGTTTTAGTGGCAACTTCTTGGTGAACTTACTGGGACAGTGGGCAGTAAGTATTTTATCACATTTTAGCTGTGTAAAATCATTTGCATTTATACTTCACTGTGAGAACTGGGTATTTAACCAGCTGGAATATTTATTTTTAACATTTGTATGTAAAAACTGTTTCAAACATTGAAGAGAAATTCCTTTATAAAACAGGATAGGAATGCAGGAAGTTTGTGAGAAATAACTAATTGCCTTTTYCATCCCCATTCAGGATGTCAGTGGAGGTGGCCCTGCTCGCTCTTACCCTGTTGGTGGCCTGTGCTACTATTTGTCCCCTCCAGAATCCATGGGTGCAATATTTGAGGATCCTGTCCATGTAATAGTTTATATAATATTTATGTTGGGATCCTGTGCATTCTTCTCCAAGACTTGGATCGAGGTGTCTGGCTCATCAGCAAAAGATGTAGGTGTTCTGCTTTAACTGTTTTCAAACAATTGAAACAATTTCTGGTTTAGAACTGACCAGCTATTGTATGATCAGTTGTTATCCCAGTAAATATCAAGTGACTCTGAAACACTGCAGCAGTTTCATAAAACACTGKTTTTTTGCAGGTTGCCAAGCAACTCAAAGAACAGCAAATGGTGATGAGAGGCCACAGGGATACTTCAATGGTTCATGAGCTTAACAGGTAAGGAAATGCTGACTTCCAGATGGGTGGTGAAGAGTGCAGGGAAAATGTCAACTAGAGCACAGATTCTCAGATTTCCCCTGCAAAAGGGAAGATTCTTCCTATTCAGCTGTTGCCTTTCCTAGTTGTGCAAAAGAAGTTACAGCAGTAGGTTAGAGATTGACCTGTAGTGTCTTTTTTTAAGTGGCATAATGAAGGAATTTTAATTTAATCTCTTCCATGTTTGTAAAGGAAAGATACCTTGATTTTTACCTTTTTCTCTGCTGTTTTTTTCCTTTTTACAGATACATCCCTACAGCAGCTGCATTTGGTGGTTTGTGCATTGGTGCCCTTTCAGTACTGGCTGACTTTCTAGGAGCCATTGGCTCTGGCACTGGCATTCTGCTTGCAGTCACTATTATTTATCAGTATTTTGAAATATTTGTAAAAGAACAGGCTGAAGTTGGAGGAGTAGGTGCATTATTTTTCTAGATGTCCAAATATTTCATGGTTTGTGTGAAAGGGAAGGTATTYTGACAACATGCGTCATTTAGTCCAATAATGCTATTTTCTTTTTACTTGTTTTCAAGTGCTATGTGTCCCATTACTGTAATGGGCATTGAGYGATGCCTGTGTGCAGCATTAGTACCAGCTGCCTTAAAAATAAAGTTTACATTATCTTGTTTTAAGTATTATCTAGTGTTGCCTGTAATGCTGGAAACAATTCATCTACCTTGCTGTTCAGACACTACAGTGAGATGGTAAAATGTATCAGTTTGAGAGCGGTAAATGTCTTTGCACACAACAGTAAAACGTTAAATTAATTTCCCTATCTCTAATAGGAAAAAAAAATACCTGAGTTCAGATTGCCACGTGCCAGTATTCCTGACAAAATTTATTTATATCTGTATTTTGCATTAATTTTTTATACTTTTTTAACTTGCATTTCAACACCATTGAACTCAGCACTCCTTATTCCTTTGCGGTGCCTCCACCCAGGCACCTTTCTCTGAGCTCTGAGGGTGGGCAAGCAAACATTTTACCGGCGACTGATACTCAYCTCACCTGTGAACTGGTTCTGTGGTGGATCTGCTGTGGCTGGGGCACGTCAGGTTCTTGCCCCGGGCCTCCTGTGGGGCAGCCTGGCAGCCGCTGTCGTGCTGGCAGGGCGGCCCAGCAGTTTTGTTTAACCATGTACTTGTGAAAACTGTGCCACTGAAACTTCATGTCCACTTTGCTTTTGTGAGTCTAAAGAACAAGGCCTGGTTCCTAAAGCAGTTCATAGGAGGGAAGAGGGGGAACGGGGAGTTCCTGCTGAAAATTTGTCGCACTTTACAGCGGCGATGTAACAACTGTAAGCGTTAGACAATAAACTTATTTAATTAAACCCTCTCCTGTGTCTTGTATGTGCCAGATGTAATTCATGTGCCATCTTTGACCATTTCTATCATGCCTGGATAGGGAGGGAGGCTCCCTTTTTCCTCTCTGTTCCTTTTCTTTTTAAAATATATTTCTGATTAATTTTTAGTAGCCTCAATTAARCAAATCTCAAGATTCCTCCCCTTACAGTCACAGATTTTTTGCTGTACTCAATTAGTTCTTCCCTTTGATGCCACATTTCTTCTGTCTTCTCTCATGTTTAACTTGAAAGTAACTTTGTGTTGTGAAAGTAAAGAAAATCTTAAGCAATTTTGTTTCAGAAAGTCTCCCTAATTACGCATGCTCATTCTCATCTATTTCAGAGGCAAGACTGATTTTGCCATGTGTTTATTAAAACTCCTGGATCCTGACCTTTCAGCAGTGGTGGCTGTTTACAGAATTAGTAGCAGTCCCCTGTGTGCAGATGCACTGAGGGTTTGTTTGGGATAAGATGTACCTAGAAGTGATTTGACTGAGGGAAAGTACAGCCTGGGTACATGAATGTGTCCTCACGAGAGGGAAAACTGCAAGGCTGTGCACTCTTGGGGCATGTGAGTGACCTCGTACCTTCATCAGGATCCCCTGGCTGGGCCTACACAGTTCTGCTTTGCACTGGTGGATGGAGTTGTCTTAATCATTATCTTAGACCAGATAAACTAGTGTTCTTTTTCTGCATAGTTAAGTTAGAGGTGGGAGAACGAAACAGCATCTTCATGTCTAAATAGGAAGTTCTTGAAATTGCCATTTTGATMACCTCAGCCAGAGCATGCACAGTGTTCCTATGCTGCTGTCASTGCTCCTGTCACAGAAAATTACTGCTCAATAGGATATTCTAACATKCTATGATTTTTGAGTTGGCAAGGGACCCACAAGACTTGAGKCCCACTGCTGGCCCTGCACAGGACACCCCAAGAGTCATACCATGTGCCTGAGTGTGTTGTCAAACACTTCCAGAATCTGTCAGGCTTGGTGCTGTGACCCCTTCCCTGGGRAGCCTGTTTCAGTGCCCAACAACCCTCTGGGTGAAAAACCTTTTCCTGATATCCAATCTAAACTGYCCCTGGCTCAGCTTGAGGCCTTTTCCTCAGGTCCTGTCACTGGTCACCACAGAGAAAAGATCAGTGCTGCCCCCTCTGTGGCTCATCATGAGGCACTATGAGCTCTCCCYTCTTCAGGTGTTTTGAATTGTTCAAGTGCTGTATGAGCAAGAGAGACCTGCGTTTGTTCTTCTGCTATCTGCCTCCTTTGGAACACAAAGTGGTGGTACAACACCAACCATGGTTACCTAGGCATCTTTCCTATACTGAATTTTAAGTCCAGAGAGGAATCTAGTGAGAAACGAGCAATTCTGAAAATTAAACAGTACTTTTATTATGCTTTTTCTGTCAAGGCTTGATAGACGGAACAGTTAGAAGAAATGCTTYTTGTCAGTTACATAATTCAAATAAAAACATCATAATCATTCCTACAAACACATTTTTTTTGCTCTACAAGTAAAGCAAAGGATCTTGATTACAAAAAAAGTTGTACTTCTAAGCCATCCAGCTTGGGCAGCTTTGGACTATATTTCTCCTTGTCCATCTCTAGAACTTCATAAAAGGAACTTGGAGCGGTTTTTCTGCTGCACGCTTCAGAGCCAATGCGTAAGTATAAACCCTGGCATCTACTGCCAGATGTTCCTCTGCTACCAGTTCTGAAAACAAAATAAAAAAAATGATGAGATGTTGCTAAAGCCTCACCTGTAGAGAAATGTAAGTCCTTGGCTAAAAAAATGTCTAGCATTCCAGACACTGCAAACACCTACTGCTATCGCTAACTCTTATACCTGGCCAGATCTCTCATGGCTTTTTCCTTAACATACACTATTCTAGCATGAGAAATACCACAGGGAGCCCTGAGAAGTGATTCTTGAAACTCACGTTAGTGCATAATATGTCATAATATGTCAGAAAGCTCTTACCATCAATTCTTTGCAGTAGGTCRTTCTTTGGAAGTGAAACAACTTCCACAAATTCTAGGAGAGAAGAAAAAGATTTACACACCCTTAAATTAGTGAACAGTAGAGAAATTTACCTCTGTGTCCTGTTTCTTGCATAGAAGGGGAATGAAAATGACTTGATGCTCATCACCATCCAAAAGTCGTGAGCCCTCATATATCAAAAAAAGGTCAATGAAATGGGGGAAGGCAGTGACTTGGTTCATTAAACAACAGGTTTGGCAGAAAGAACCTGGGAAACAGTTGGAGAAAAAGTAGCTTGACAGCTATGAAGGATAAGAATCCTAAAAGGAGAAACCTGCATTTTGAGAATGGAAAATGCACTGTTGAAGGGGACTTTCGTTTGGCTTCTCCTGGTACAGGAATGTATTGGAGATGCATTTCAAGACCCAATCTGCACAAAGACAAAAGGTTTGTTCATGATGATGAACTTATATTGGCCTACACCTCCCCTGTCTCTCTGAATTACAWGTCTTTGGGGTTTGACTTACAGCTTGTTGAGGGTTCAGTAATTTGTATTTCCTGAGATACTGGTGCTATAGGTGCAATACTTGGAAAGATAATTGATGCAATAATGCCCTACAGGAATTTGCATCTAGGCCAAAGTCAACTTCAGGCACATTTGATTAGGGTCAGGAGATTACCCAAGCACAAATAAAAACCAGTTTTAACTGACTTTTGCTAAGTAAAACTTGCCATACGAAGATCAGGCTTGACCTTATTGTCAATGGAAACAYAGTCACGTTACATACCTCCATCATCTACAAGTGAAAAAAAAAGGTAAGTTAAAGGACTGAAATACACCAGAGTTTACAATTAAAAAGCATTTGACAGCTGACTGACTGTGAGTTTCACTTTAATTCCAGAGTGAAGCTACAACTGAGCAATATCTAGGTTCACAAGTGCTTATGGCCCTCAGTGAAATTTGGCACTGCAATGTTTTATTCTGAATGTGCCAACAGCTGACACTTTGCATCTGGGCTACCCCATTGATTCAGCAGAGACACACTCTGCTTATTGAGGCTGCAGGACATGATTGGAAGGAGGTGCAGCATCCAAATCAGCTAGGACACATGAGATGCAGTGGTGGGGTTAATTGTTTTAAGCTCATTCTTTTGTTATCTTCTCAAAATTTTCAAATAAATGGTACAAAACTCACCAAGGTTTTGCTTAGGTCTCGTATTCTCAGCCTCATCTCCGTTAATGATGACGCTCACGATGTGTGTTGTGCTGTTTGACATACCTGGGTCCAAGCACAGAGCTGCCAACAAGCACATGGAGAGGTTCATTTTTCAAACCAAGAGAGAGGCACTGTGACATTTTAACAAAAGCTTTCACAGAAATRTATTGGCAGACATTCATGCTGCAAGAATAGCAAAAGCTTTGTTTTCGCATGTTCTTAGAAGTAATGTTTCTGTAACTCAACTCTTACAGATCCCTGGTAAGACTTGTTTTCACAGCCAAATTTACTTTCCATTCCATAAACTACAGATTTACTGTAAACTATCCCTTATAAATTTCCTCAGTCTATTGGAGTCTAATTTTGCAATCCCCTGTCTCCAGCCCCTCCCAATCCGTAGCATGCAGTTGTACCCAATAACTGAGAGACAAGTATAGAGACAACTGCAATAGTATTTCCTTGAAATCCTATCAATCAAAGTTGCCTCACCTTTCTACCTTCTTGAGTTAATGATCTTCCTKTCACCTTCATTTTATCTTATGTAGRAAGCATGGGATTGRCAAMAATCACGTTCCAAAGGATATCTAAATTTACTCCAATTATTCTCTCCTTTCTTCTTTCCTTCTGGAGAACCCAAGTACTGTCACCTCCCCACAKCTGACAGAAGGGTGACCTCTGCATCCTGCAGCTATTTTTTCCTAAGTTCACAGATTCTGTTCACAGAAGTCCAGCGGTTTAGACCTTTATACTAAATCTTGAATAATTGGGGTTTGTGTATAGGATCTTAATTAATAGCTATTTTCTCCCTACTGACATCAAACTTCAGATCTGTATGTTTAACAGAAGTTCAGCATCTAATTCACATCAAGGAGCAAAGTTTCACTTTTACAGCCATGAGATGCTCTGCTAATCTGTGTAGGCTTTGCTGCTTGGATTTTCCCTTTGGTTTAGAGCATTTTAAGCCATCAAGATGGAATAAGCTTTGATGGGGAAAAAAAATAAAAAAAAAGCAAAGACCTGGAGTACATTCAATGACTTCCCCCTTGTACCCAGTTTCTTCYTTCAGCTCTCGAAGTGCAGCGCTTTCTGCTGACTCGTTTTCCTCAATGAGGCCTGGGAGATACATAATACACAAGAAAAATTAAAAGCCTCCCACTTAACTGCAATAACCATCCTGARACCTAATCAAGCTTTATGGAAGAGGGGAAACATCCTCTCTAATCTTTAGGAAAGATTCCAGTCCCTGGATTCATTATGCTTCTGCCGACATCCTTAACTGATTATCTACAGAATCATGCTGCTTTCCCAAAAAATAGCATTAATATTCTCATGAGGGAAAGAAGCCAAATGCTTTGACTCTTAAGAGAAGTAGTGGGAATTTTCTCCAATCTGCTAAAACAAGCTATTTTGTTTTTTTCATTATCAAATATTCCTATTTTGGAATAGCACACAGAGCTCAGCACAGTTTTCCATCTAGAACTATTTTGTTAAGATTGACACTCCAAGCACATCTAAATACACTGAACCATATGTGAGTCATCCCAATGTGTCAGTCACTTACCTGCAGGAAATTCCAAGCAGTAGCCATTGATTGGRGGCCTGAACTGTTTCACCAGGACAATGCAGTCGTAGTGCAGAGTTCTCTGKAGCACTGCTATCACTGCTACACCTACACCAGTGAGGGGAGACACAAGAACATGGAATATGAGTGTAGCAGAAAGTGAGATTTTAGTGCCAAATCTGGAAAGGAGACCACACACTGCTCCTCTAAGCATTAAATGTTGAGATGTCTGCTCCATAATCCTAAACGATGAATTTAAGATCTTCATACCATGCTTGGTGAGAGATCTTCAAAACTCCCAGCAAATGAAAGGCACACATACCAAGCAAGACTGAGACTCAGCTCTGGAATATCCAGAGAAGGGCTTCTTGGTACAGAGACTGTTTGAAAGCCTCTGTATGGAAATCTCTGCTACACTCTTGGCATGTCTAAATCATGTCCCAAAGAGAACCTTGTTCCTGGCCCCTAACAGCAGACCCAATCACCGGTCTGTGAGCTACCCTGTATCAGACCACCCCAATGTCTTTGGAAATGCTCCATCATTTTAAAGTGAACACAATGTTCTTGGGAAAGCACCTCCTACCAGCAAGGTTCTGATTCTTCACCATTTAAATTAACATTTYATTAGCTCAGAGGTATAGCAAGCTCTGCCAAGCTATCCTCATTCATTCAGGAACAGATCAGCTCTAAATCTGCATTGTTAGCTTATCAGAAGGACTTTCAMAGGAAAAAAAAATACAAATAGAAAAAGCTACTAATTCTTACCATCAGCTGTAACTCCCTTTTTGTTGCCAGTACGCTTTACAGTTTCCCAAGTTCTGTTTAAATAGAGAACAGAATAAATTAATACARAAATCATCTTCTACCCTTGCTACTTTAATTTAAAGCAAAATGTACCRTAACACAGTGAGGTGTTGTAAGAGGCAGCTGGCCTTAGGCAGGCTTTGTCATACACTGTCACTATAAAATATTTATAGCATACTTTTCTTTTGCATAYTTAAGGAGGGAGAGAGAAAATAGTTAATTTTAGTTACACAAAAGATCAAATTTTGCTGATTTTAAGAGGATACTTTGCTGATGAACTGGAAGGCACTAGAGAAAGCAATCAGTACAAAATCTAACACATTAAGGGGAGCCATGTTGTCACACCAACATAAATACAGCAAAAGTAAAGAGTACGAAAGAATTGGACAGATATGATAACATACAAGACAACATTAATTTGTCAATAATATGCAAGATCCAGCACCACCAGCAGTGAAAAAAGAGCCCTTAATGAAAAACCAGAAAAGCCACAGGATAAACTCTGTGATTGTCACAGAGTAGTTGCACAGCTATAACTTGCTTCTGTGTAGCATCTTTCCAAAGAACTGGAAATGCAACACAATCCAGGGTCCAATGTGCCCAGGAGGATTTAGGAACCAAATACAATTCCAATGCTAGTACATCTGCTGGAGTAAGATTCTTTTCTCCAAATAGCAGGAAATCTAAATGAACCTCATAATRAGTAGCTCTCATCTTGTGTGGAGTGATGGGTTTATAATGCTCATGTTCTCCAGCCTGGGGCCAGTCTGTACAGTTGGGRATCTGGAATACCCAGAGGTAATTACCTGGTTTTACCGAAGGGATCAGTGTAAGTTGTTTCTGCAAGCTTCAACCATTGTCTTTCTACAATTACCTAAAATAAAGAAATCTTTGTCAAATACATTATAATACATATATTAGTCCCAAAGGTTTGGGAGAAACAACACAACTTTTTTAGATTCTTTTGAAGACAAAATCTCAGCATTGCAATRCATGCAGGAATGTGCAACAGCATTCCTGTTGCTAATACAGAAAAAAACATTTGCTCCAAGTTCCTGAACATGAATAAAAAAATAACCCCAACACAGTAACTTTTCTTAATGTCTTTTATAACCAAGTTTTGACAAATTCATTCGGGGGTTTTACGTACTATAAAGTCCTCATTTTTTAAGAAGGATTTTGCAAGGGTAATGTATCAGCTGCAAAATGATCTTTGGGCTGCACAGACTCTGACCACACTGGTGCTCATGAGTGCCCACTCAGCAGAGAGCACAGCCCAAAAGCTGAGCATGCAAGACTAAAAACCAAATTACCCTAAAATTTTTCTCGCCCTGATCTCAGACCGTGGCCTTGTGKAACTGCTGTTTTCTGCAGCTGTGAGAGTGATACATACCTGCCCCTTTAGGATTCTGAAAGCTGCTGAGTGAATGTTTGGCATTAACCCTATGGCCAAGTGTCTTTTCTGGGCTAAATGAGTTTATTTTCCCTATGATGTTTCCTCATCTTTTATGCAATTCATTTAAAAGAGAAAAATCCCTAGCTATTAGCCCAGCAGTTTGCTTCTTTTATTGTAACTTGTTTTAAAAAGAGTTATTGCTTTGTCTAGTACTTTGATRGGCAAAAAAATCTGCTTTCAATGGTCTGAATGCGCCTTCCCAGAAAAAGGAAGRATGAAATATGATCAGTTGCCACTTTCATGGAAGATATTCCAGCATCAGACCACACATATACTGCAGAGTTACAGAACCACTTCTGCTGTAAGGGCCACTGGCAGAAAGAGGGTAAATACTTCTCTGTATTAAACCCACAAAATAATTGAAAACAATTAACAGCTTAAAATATGTAAGATCTAATTATAAACTCCCAGTGATGCCAAAGAGTACATTGTTTTCAAAGAGAATAACTAAGAAACATTACAAAAAAATCCCCAAACAACAAACCAAACAAAACCATAAAAGACTGAAAAAAATGAAGTAAAAAAAGAAGATAAAATGAAAATGCTGTCTGCAAAAAACCCAGCTCTTAACAGAAAATCCCAAAAGGTTACAAAAATGAAATCCTTTATGTTTGTGAAATATTCATATTAAAAACGTGCCCAAGAGAAAAGACACAAATATAATCCAACAAATCTCTTTGTTCCTTGTACCTTGAAACTGGAATAAATTACAAGACAATGTTCATTCCATGAAGGACAAATAAAAGAAATCATATTTCTGTTATAACAACAGCCAGAGACTGCCAAATGTGCCTTAACACCAAAGATTAACTTTTAAGAATTCACTTAAAAGGGAACAGAAACAAATATAGGCAGTTTAGCATGAAAGTGCCTCTAATAAGAATGAAACACCTCCGGAACCTTTCCTTAGGACTGATATTATTCTTACTACTTTCTTACTGATGTACTTTCAAACAGCAATTACCTAAATTAAAATCCTTTCAGAAAACATAAAAAATATACAATCCTAAATGTTAAAGCAATCCTTAGTGGTTTACCATCTTAAGGAAATAGAAAACTATTGCTCAGTTTCATAACCCACCAATTTGCAAAGTCYCTTAGAGATATCAGCATTATTTCTGAACATTGAAAAACCTCCTGAAAAGACAACACAAGAAACAGATGCAAAATCTGAAAAAAAAGAGAAGCAGCTTAAAATAATGCAACMCTGTAGATTTCTGTCTCCTCATTGATAATTTGTATAAATATTTCAGTAAAGAGGAATGTCACATATTTTAAACTCTTTGACAATCAGGAAGAAGTGTTTTGTCTATTGAATAAGTTTCTAGAAACACACAGCCTCCATAACGTTTTGTACTCTGCATTTACAAACACACAAATAATTGTTATTTAACAACAAAACAGGTCGAACCCAAGCATGCTGTACCTCTTCCTTAAGGACGAATTGTTTAGCTGTTTTTACAACTTCTGTGGATGTCTCRGCTGCCATTTTCAGGAATGTCAGGCTTTTCGCCTCCTGTGCAAAGTCCAGCTATATATGAAACAAAATCAATATTTGCTTTTAGTGTAAAGTTAAAAGGTTCATTTCTGCACTGTAAATTAACAAATATAGCTTGTTGGAGAAAGTCAGGGACGTGTGATGGCAAGTTCDATTCATGTTTTCAGCTCCACCCAATGATTTCAGAGTCAAATAATTCAAAGGAGAAATTTGGGTCAAATCCCTCACTTGCATAGTTTTAATAGTCCTATCATCTGTCAAGTAGCTATGCTGGCTGAAGACACTTTTCTTAACTATTCAAATGTGAAACACACATACAGAAAATTCATCCATTTCAGTCAAATTGTTTGATTCCGATCTGGGTGTAATGCTCTGACAACAGTGTTGGGACATGTTATTTCCCAACTGTGAAAATGGGAAAAAAACCTTATTCCAAGAGGACTTCAGTGGTAGAAACTGTCTGTTATTAGGAATCAGAACTAGAGCGTACCTCCACCTTACATCACAAATAAAAACGTAAATGACTCAACCCTTCTACTAAAAAACAAGGTCAAAGAGCTACACGTGTGCTGCAAGTCTATGCAGTACGTGGACCTGGTGTGACCACAGCATATCAGTCTCTTGCTGGGAATGATGTGCCCAAGACCATCTAAAAGGCAGTATTTTCATTAAAATATGCCCAAAGCAAGGCTCTGGATCTGCAGCTCAGTGCCTCAGCCTGCATCCTCAGGAAGGTGAGATTATCCACTTCTTTCATCCAGATCCAGCCTAAAGGCACTGCAGGCAGCAGAAAAACATGATGTCTTAGAGACTGACCCTGTGTCACACTGGAACTACAGGATGCTTTCAGCACAGAAACCTATGGAAAGGAAGCTCATCTCTGATATTAAGTTGTAATACTKAAGTCTTGAAAATCATCATGAATCATAAGCAAAAGCCAGTGAAAAGAAAGAAACCAGTTTAAACACCAGGAAAGATGAGATGATCCTAAACATCTTAATCATCCATAGCATTGATGGTCATAAACTTTTCATAAAGTCAAAAGGATTCTTTCCATGACTTCAACTATGAATTAATAAGGTTCTGTGTKGTCTCCAGCAATGAACAGTACCAAAGTGTGTGAAGACCTCTCTATCACACCCAGCATTAGCATTTCTATTTTTTACTTCATCTTTATCCTTTTATGGTAACATTAGTTACACATTTGTGAAACACAAAAGARCAACAATCAGCTTTCTTACATACTGGATTGACATTTATTTCCACTAAGTGGTTAAAAGGAACAATAGGACTAAATATTTCTGTTTACCAGCAGGASTAAAGTTAACTTACATGAATCTATTTCCTCAGACTGTATACAKGGCAGGCTTTTAAGCATTAGGAAAGTGTTTTTGGGTGAAGTAGGTCATAGAGGTCAAGTGTGCAGATTGTTTTTATGTAACATAAATCTTGAAAAGAAACCCTGACCCATTAAGCCCAATTCAGTGCCTTCAAAAATATATTCTATAATATTCTCTTAAAGCAATGAAACTCTTTTTCAAAACTACATAGGTTTATTATCTACCTTACTACTACATGTATTTGTTCAGGAACCTCACTTGCTTAGTTCCAGTTTCTATTCCACTTCAGTTCAGTCAGCTGTTCCAGTGTTTGGAACTCCCTTCTCTCAGGATTGAAGAGTTTTATCTGGACAAYAGCCATGGTCTCATGCTGTGACTCTCAAGTACAAGATCGAGCTTTCCACCAAACATATGCAAAAGAAGCACAGTCCAGGAGAAACGGTCAAAGGAGGCTCTGTGTGATGCCTTTAAAAACAAAAAAACCTTACATATCCAGCTACAACAAATTAATTTCCTACATTTGGAAAGAATTACGGCCTTTTGAATAGTCAGTAGAAACATGTCAAAGGAGTAGAGAGTGAAGCACAACCTTGTTAAAGTTGTTTTTGGATTGGGCTAAATCTTGCTCTTTYAGTCTCCCCTCACAGGAAATTCTGTTCCATTGGTCACACTAATCCTTCTGCACAAGCTTGTAAGTACCACAGTTTTTTTCAGATTTTCTCAGATTACCACAGTTGTAACATGAAAAAAATTACTAGGACCTCATCTCATGGCAGAAACTGTTTTCAACACTGCTTGCTTGCTTCTGACAAATTCAAGGGTACCTTGMTACTTAAAATAACAACAAAACAACAAAAAACCCGCAGTTTTAGTGGTCTGAATTATCACTAAAATCTAAAATGGGTGAACCTCTCAGTGAGGGGARGACTGATCTATCCCAGCCTCTGTAGTTTGGGTCTCCTCCACAAGTGGGTGCAGTAAGTCTACATATAGAGACATTTAAAAGTTCCACCAAAACAGTACTTTTGTCCAGATTCAGCTGGCTCTATAGCAGTGACAATTTCTTCTGTTAGAAAGCTGAAACACCATTTGGTTAAACGATGCCAATTCTGGCATCTCACATGACTCATGCTGGGTGGCAATATCTTTTGTTCATAAACAAAATTATCTCAACTGAAACGTAACACTAAAATGTGAGGTTTCTAAAGGCCAATTCAGCTTTCAGAACAGGCCTTGTCTTGCAGCCCTCTGACAGGAAGGTTSTTCTATCTCATAAAATTCCCTCTGCATCATTTGAGTTAAAAACGCAACACAGCTGGCACAGCATCTTGGGAACCTAGTTACCTGATTTAGGATTATATGAGCTCTAAGGATATACATTTTTAAGAGTTAAAAATGCGATCTTAAGAATATGTCAAAGTGCCCACATTTACCAGCTGCCTTAACACAAATCAACAGCACTYGAATTATCAATTATGGGGGAAAAGTAAATGTTTTCTCTTTTGTCTGGTGTTTTTGTGCCTAGCGTTACAGGGTGCTGCTGGCAAATCATGCTGCTTCTTCCATTTATTTCATACTGGGGTCAAATTCTGTCCTGAAAAAGCCATGCTATTTATAAAATATATAATGTTATTCCCATTGCTTATTCCTTTATTGAGTGGCTTCCTTTCAAGGTAGCATCCAGGCATTATACAATTTCCAAATTATCCTTCCCAGGAATTAAAATCTTAAGCCAACTGAGGTCTGTGAATCAGCTCAAGACAGAAGCCAAGATATTAGAACTATACATTAACACTTTCATAGCTGGATTAGCTTTTCTARATCACTTTTYAGAAAACATTCTCTGATCCAAGAACACATTCCAGCCGACAGCAACCAGATTTAATGGAAACTCAGCAATGGGGTCCCATGGCAAACTCGAGGTCCAACAAAATACCGGTTTTCTTATAAAAAAGGTGCAAAAGCACACTGGCAACATTTTATGAAMGATTTAATCACCACCACTCTGAGACACGTGTGCTGAAGATAAACAYCATTAAAAGCTACTTGGTCAGTTTAAACTCTTTACTTGCACTTCAGSACTATGATTCTTAGAAACAAAGTTAATTAATTAGCAATTCAGTTGACGGGAGAGACAAAAGTAGGGGAAAATGTTTCATTTTTATCATGGTGTTAGAAGCATGGGTGAACTGCTCAGTGCCAAAAAAAAAAAAAAATATAGACAAATAACTGCAGAGCAAACATCAACAAGGATTATCTCACACCAGCAGAAGAGGGTYAGAGGCAGGTCCATGCTGTTATCAAACTTCCCAACAGCTGAGGTGTGAGAGGCTGGGAGAGACTTCCCTAAACTGCAGATATGAGAGCACATAAGGAAACATCGCATGGAAACGCGATGCAGGGGACACACAGGCACACACAAAACAGCAGATTACAGGGCTAAAAAAATCACATAATGCTCTGTTAATACTTGACTTGGAATGAAACAAAATGAAATAGTGGTTGATGAAAAACCGARCACGAGCTGACAATGTGGTATCCCATGCCAGAAAGCCAAAGAGGTCCAGGGATGCATGCAAAGATTCTGCCCCTCTCCTCTGCCCTTTTGAGAGTCCATCTGGAGCACTGTGCACAGTTCTGTGCCTCCAACAAAACAGGGCATGGAATTGTTGGATCAAGTCCAAAGAAGATCATGAAACTGATAAAGGGGACTGGAGCAACTCCCCTACAAAGATAGGCTGAGAAAATTGGTGAAGGTTGTGAGGAGATCTCAGAGCTCCCCAAGTATTTGAAGGGGTTGGAGAAGGGACTATTCATCAGAACTGCAGCTACAGAACAAGGAGCAATGGGTACGAATTGAAAGAGAGGAAATTAGATATTAGGAAGAAATTCTTTACTGTGAGGATGGTGAAACACTAGACGAGCTTGCCCAGGGAGCTGTGGATGCCCCAAACCTCGAAGTGTTCAAAGCCAAGGCGGGTAAAGCCCTGTGAGCAACCCGGTCTCCATGCCCAAGGCAGGGGATGAATTGAACTGGCTGATCTTTAAGGTCCGTTCCAACCCCTTAACATCCTACGGTTCYATGAAACAGCTCCATGCAGGGGACACACAGGCACAGGAAGGACAGCAGAACCTAAAAGGATAACACGTTACTCAGTGATTCCTCGGCTCGGGGCGGGTTAGAGCAGAGCGATGGCAGCGCTGTTGGACGCTCCGGGCAGCGCTGAGGCGGCGGGGGCGGGGCCGGGCGGGGGCGGGGCCGCGCTCGGTGCGCTCGGTGCGCCCGCGATGGCGCCGGGCGGCGCTCGGAGCTGCGCGGGAGGTTCCGGGCGGAGCGGGAGCTTCCGGAACCGCCGGCGCTGAGGAGGAGGAGGATGAAGAAGGAGCAGGTGGCGCATTGCCAGTTCTCCGTGTGGTACCCGCTCTTCAAGGCTGTCACTATCCGCAGGTGAGCGGCTCTGGGGCTGGGAGARGCGGTGTGGGCCGTAGGGGAGCGGTGTGGGGTGAGGTGGGAGGAATGTGGGGCGAGGGAGGTGAGCGTGTTCCTGCACTCCGCCCTGGTGAGGCTCGCCTGGAGCGCTGTRYCCAGYTCTGGGCTCCTCAGAGCAGGAGAGACACAGTGCTCTTGGAGYGGGTCCAGTGCAGGGCTGCGAGGATGATTAAGGGACYGGAAAAGCTGAGGGAACTGGGCCTGCTCAGCCTGGAGAATCACAGAATGGTTTGGGTTAGGAGGGACCTTAAAGATCATCTGGTTCCARTCCCCTGCCATGGGCAGGGACACCTTCCTCTAGACCAGACTAATCCAAGYCCCATCTAACCYGGCCTTKTACACTTCCAGSGATGGSTCATCCACAGCTTCTCTGCCAAGCTGTGCTTCACAATAAAGAATTGCTTCCTAATTTATCTAAGCTAACCTTCTCAATTTGAACACATTCCTACTTCTAAATTATTATTACAAGTTCTTGTACATAGTCTTGCCCCATCTTTCCTGTGAGTTCCCTTCAGGTACTGGAAAGAAGAGTGAGAGGGGACCTAATTAATGTATGCAAATATTTAAAGTGGGTTGCCAAGTGGATGGATCCAGAATCTCTTCAGTGGTGCCCAGCAATAGGATAAGTGGCAAAGGGCAGAAACTGATGCACAGGAAATTCCACCTGAACATGAGGAAGAACTTCTGTCYTGGGCAGTCACCAGGCAATGGAAAGGATTGTCCAGAGAGGCTGTGGAGTCTCCCTCACTGGAGATATTCCAGARCTGTCTAGGCACAACCTTGTGCCATGTGCTCTGGGGTGGTCCTGCTTGAGCMGGGAGGTTRGAGAGGTSAGCCACTGTGGYCCCTTCCARCCTKACYCATTCTGGGATTCYCTGGGGCTGGGTTGGGTTGGAAATGAGCTTGTATTGGGGTGGGGTTGGATGAGATTGATGGGACCTGTGTGGGACAGAGCTGCGGTGGAGRTGGTGAAGGATTGATTGAGCTCTCAGCTGCAGTCCCAGGAGCTGGGGTCTTGTCTCTTCACCCTGAGGAGGTGTTTTGGGAAGCCATGGTGCAGGCCAGGTAGCCCTGTACTCCCTGCTCTCCTGGTGAGACTCCGTGCTGAGCGCCAGCTGATAGCCACACTCTTGCTACTATCCACATCCCTCTATCCACACAGCTGTTCCTACTTGCTTAAAAAAAAAACAAACCCCGATTGTGACTGGATGTATCCAAATCAAATGGCTGACTTGGTTTTTTTGTGTATTTCTGGTAGCCCTAGGAAATTCTGTAGTTTCTAAGGTGCTGCTGCATGTCATGAGATAGTTACAAGAACTACCAGTAACTCAGGAAAGTCGACATAATTGCCCTGTTGGATCAAAAAGTGCTGACATCAGGCTTTTGGTAATCAAAGCATTTGATCTTTTATGTTTTTTAATGCTCAGCACTGGCTTTTTTTTTGTACATTTAGCGTTAGTCCTGCATTGTTAGAACATTAGGATGGTATAGGCAGATTTTGGTTTGCATTTCATAAGGTAAACCTTTAGTTGGAGCAACATGTTGTCTCCTTACAGGCTGCATACAATTTTACTTGAAATTTCTTAGGGCTTTGAAGGAGTGGGCCATTTTTGTGTATTTCATCTAAAATTTTTGTCCTATACTTCCCTGGAGGGTAAATGGACACTGCTTTTGGGTGAGGGATAAGGTGGGAGAAAGAGAATTTTCTTCCATAATGTTAGAGGATTTTTGACTTATGTGCTATTAAAACCCCAAATTCTTTTATTCAACTAGGTTTTTATTATAGCAAGCAATAATAAGGTATTAAAGAGATTTTCACATTTCTTCCAGTGTTATACTTCCCCTGCCAGAGAATGTGAAAGAATATTTGCTGGATGATGGAACACTCGTGGTTTCTGGAAGGTAAAGCATGTTTTCGCCCCAGCCTCCAAGTATTAATGCCATTTTACATTCACAGCACCATTTTGTGTGTACCTATTGTATTGTCCATAATGAGTTTTTTAATTTGACCAGTGTGACTGCAGTAAACCTTGTACTGTAAGAGTGTGTGAATGGGCTGACTGTTTTTAGTACAGCTTGATTTGCTGATGCCTGAAGTGGGTCCTAAAATCCACACTTCATTCTAGACCAAGTGGACACAGTACTTTCATTTTTTCTCCACCTTTCCTTGTGGAATGTTCCAGGCTCTGAGGTGCTCAGCTACTGGTTTGTGTTTGGTGCCTTGGATCTCCTTAGGTACAGTTCACAGGCTTGACCTGTGCCATGCCAGTCCAGGGGTGAAATGACATTACCTGAGTTTAATTCTCAATAAAATAAGCTATATATGAACTCCATGAATATTAAGATTTTTATATAATCATTTGCATACATGTAATCCATGCATCTGACAAAACTGAATATCCTGTATGTACACTCATGCCAAGATTTTGGATGGAGAAGGATCAGGTGGATAGATAGCAGAGATAGTAGGTAAGAGCCCAGGCCTTGCTCTTTATTTTCTCACTGTGTGGTTTCCTTGTGAGGTGGTTGCTGCATGTAGCTTGTTAATTATCAAACTCAGAAATCAGTCCTCACTCCATGATTCCCTAACTGGTAGTTTGCCCCTTGCAGAGCAACCAGTTAGGCTGTGAATGAAATGGATCTTTCTCTGATTTATCAGCTATCAATTTATGTAAAAATTGAAGCTGTTTAAACACCTTGTAAAGATGAAAGGGTTTAATTTTTATTAATTTCTAAATTCTTAATAAAGGGTACCCAGAAAATTAGAATTGTTTTTAAACCATTTTGGATAAGAAGTAGTGTTGTCACCTGTTTTTACAGAACTGTGCAATTTGTTTAGCACCAGCTGTTTATTTTAATAAGCCTTCAGAAATGCTGAAACTGAGGGTTTGACTTAACAGCCGTGTTCTACAATTTTGCTGCCTTCAGTGGAGTAATGGACAGCTGTATGATGGACTTAAATTACATTTTTAAGCTGTTTGCAGTTAAAATCCCTGTTAGAAACCATTTTTTTCTCTTGTGTTGTACTTTCTTAGCTAGAAGTGAATGTGATCTTGTAGTCAAGGCCAAGATTGTTTTTAACCTTCAGTGAACCCATACCTGACCTCTGGATCTCACCAACTGGATTGATGGTTTAATCCCTATGGAAATGCATTGAGGGATTGCAGAGACTCAACTTGTCTAAGAGTTTACTTTTGGCAGGGATGTACATTTGGCCTGTTTGCTACACTGTCCGCTTTCCATAGGATCTTCTTTTGTCTGTATGCTAGGTGGATAGATGAGGACATTGAGTGTGAGGACATTTTCTTTTCAGAGCCAGAAATTCACAGGTCAACACTTGAAATTCAAGTTTTATGATTTTTTACTAGGGGAAGGAGTATGGAGGCAAACCATAATTTAAATTGAACTTGGGTTTTTTTTTGTTTATTTTTGGTTTTTTGGTTTTTTTTAAGAGGTTAAATTGTGTTTGTGTCAGAGTACAGTAAAGTTGGAAAAGAATCATTAATAGAGTGTTGAAAAGCTTCAATTTTGGTGTTTTAGAGCAAAAACTGATCTACAAATTTGAAAGAAGCAAAGTTTTCAGGATGGGACCTAGGCTTAATGCCAGAGTGTTTGGTCTTCACTTTTCAATATTGGCTTGCTCTGATTTTTCTCTGCCATGGTTTTGAGGATTAATCTTCTTATGGAAAATTTTGAGATCAACAGCTGGAAATGCTGTGGAAATGTAATGGATATGGTCAAATCAAACTCCAGTGCTTAATGGTTTCTTTCCTGTTAATTTTTTTTCAGAGAAGATCCGCCAAGTCACACACAGGAGGGGAGTGATGATGCAGAGGAGATACAGGTTAGTGTAAAATGCGCATTAATGTCAAGTCTCTTGAGAAAAATATAAATGGATAACCTTTTATGCATAATTTATAGGTGAGGAGAGTCCTTCACAGAAATAATAATGTGGTAGTTGCAATGAAAAATGTAGAAGCATAATTATTTATGCTGTGACATCAGTGAAAGTTTAAGATATTTCTATGCTTATTCACAGAAGACTTTTAAATTTTTATTTATTGATAATTGCAGTTGTAATAATGAGTAGGGAATGTTGAAATTGAACTTAATGCTGTTTCATGCCCTGAAAAATTAGGAGTATGTTTGCGGTAGTTACTTCAAAAAACAGTGAAAGTTTCTGAGGCCATAATAACTCAGAAGGCCATTCTAGAAGAAAAACACTGAAAAATGTTTTAAGTGCAAGGTGACAGAAGGTACAACAAGGAGATGGAACAGAAATAAAAGTGAAACTAATGGATCATGGGTCTAAGGATGGAAGTACAGAAGCTGGAGAAAAGCTTTAGACAAGGAAGACTGAATTCTGAAATGTCCAACTTTCTGATATAAATCACAGTTAAAATATGCATGTTGTTTTTATCCATGCTTTAGAGTAGTACTTCTGCTGAATATACAGTGTTGTTCCTGTCTTAATTTACAGCCCAAAAAGTTGGAGGATGGTGATGTTATGCTGTCTGGGGCAATGGTTTGATCTGCATGTTGTAGGAGGCTGTATGAATTCTGATGTTCTCATAAATTATAAAGGGTGTCTCAGGAAACCATGAACCTTTGATTTGTTCTTATTTTTAACAGTGGTCCGATGATGAGAACACTACAACGCTTAAGGTAAAGTCCTGTAAAAGCCCGATGTTGGTTTGTCAGCAATTTCCTTTCTGCAGCCTTGTGATACAAACTTGTTGCTTGTTAGTTCCTG